TCTAATACATTTCGATATTGCTGACGTGTCCATTTTATAGCTGACATGTCCGTTTTATACTTGACGTCTGGTCTGTTTTGGGCCTAGGAATGATCTACTTTCTGTCATGTCCATTTTGTTTGGGGGTTGCAATATATTGCTTCCAATAGTTTGACAAGAGTGAAAATACAAATAAAAAGAGTGTATTTATATTTACACTTGACATATTTGTATTTATACTCTTTCCAAATGAAACTGGCATTGCGGAGTGGAACATATACATTCTTTTCCACGGATTGAAGGGTCCGTTGCAATTAATTTGTTTGCAGTGAAAATTCATTTGCACCATTATAAAATGCATGAAAGTGCAAATGAGAAAAATGCAAAATCTAGTTTGCTTTTGTTTCAAACTTTAATTTAGGTTCAGTTTGGAAGGAGTATAAATATAAATATGTAGAGTGTAAAATCTTGTATTTTATATGTATTTATACTATATATATTTGTATTTGTGTTCTTTCTAAATTTAATTTTATGCTCCATTTGGAAGGAGTACAAATACAAATATATAGAATGTAAAACTTTATATTTTGTATTATTTTATATATTTGTACCGTACTTTTTATTTGTACTTCTTCCAAACTAGGCTCAGTTTGGAAGGAGTACAAATGTAAATATGTAAAATACAAACTGAGCCTTAACCTCATTTGCAATGGAAACAAATAACACAAAAAATAAAGTTTGAAACAAATCATAATTTGCTCTGAACTCATTTGCACTCGCATTCGTTTAATTATATATATCAGTAAAAATGAAATAGATGAAACTGAAGTACAGACAAACCAAGCTTAAAGTAGAAACGAGTCAATAGTGGATTCTAGTGTAGCAGCTGTAAGCACATGCATTCAATTATTTTTCATATTAGGATAAAGTGATTGGAGGCCTCTTGGATCTCCACGACCATTTACATCCTTCTCAACTATAATAGTGAAATGAGTTTGACTAGTTTGGTTTCATTAGATACTCAGATTCCATTTAATTATTGCACCTTTTTTTTTCCTATTTCATATAATATTGCTTTCAACTTTTCTGAGTCATTCTTTTATATTAATATATGCCCACCTTACAGCAACGACAAATTGGTAGCTTTGAGACAAATTATGATTTTACAGTTTGTGGATGTACACTGGAACATGAGTGATCTATAAATGGAAAGCTAATATGAAGACTTAATGAGATTAGATTTAAATGCTCAAAACATATCCATATAGCTAATTTTAGAAGATTGGATCACAAGAGAAGATTTCTGGGTTGTTTTTCACTTGGCAGGAAAAAGGCCAACTGCTGCATAATTTAGATCAGATGAAAGAGTACGTAGTTAGATAATACTTATGCATCCGACTAGCTCTGGTAGCTTTCATCCACTCCAATAGTCCAATGGATCATCATTAATTGGTTGGGTCATTCAGCCTACTAATAAGGCACGGTCTATAAGTTGGTCCAATCCAACCGACTGTTGTCGGCTAACAACTTTATTTGTCCATAACCTAGCACTTTCGATACCATCAAGAACAGAATCATATCATTTTTGAGTTTTCATGGCATTTGGCATATGGAGAGTCGGAGACCTCCTATGAGTTAACAGTTTCATCTAAATTAGAAAGTCTCTTCCCTAAAACAAATTGTGAATGGACAGAAACACTAACGCAGTGAGATGTAATGTATCCTGATCCAATCCGATCATTTTGGTCCAGTTTCTTGTTTTATTTGCTTGTAAAAAATATAATTTTATTTTCTAGGCTTAACTAGCTTTGGCATTAGATTGGAGGGCAAAATACGAATGTTTCATTAATAAAAATCTTTTCCTTCAAAAGTTATTCATACATATGGATGCATACATACATATTTGTATTTGTATGTATGAATGTACATGTATAACAATTTTTGAAGGCAAAGATTTTTATTTTGCATGTATTTGGACCGGGTAGCCCAAGGTTTCAACCCTAATCAAATCTGAAATTAAATCAGTTTGAATTCCAGCCCAACCCCAACTCTACAAAATAGAGGCTCAGTTTGGAAGGAGTACAAATACAAATATGTAGAATGCAATACCTTGTATTTTGTATTATTTTGCATGCATTTATATGGTGTATATTTGTATTTGTATTCTTTCAAAACTAAGCCTAAGGGAAAAGAAAGAAAATAAAAGAATGGAAAGAATACAAATTCTGATCTGCACGCTAGACGACTGACCACAATTTCATTACTCTCTCTCTCTCTCTAAAGTGGATGTGGGATGTCTCACTTCCCAAGACAAGAGGCTTAGTCACATTCAGAAAACTATATTTAAGGGATAAGTAGATTGCATTCCACCTCAGAAATCTGAAATTACAGCCCCCTCCCAGTCTACTAGTAGTGCCCCCTATAAACCACATCCTACCCGTGGATTTGACATCAATCCATGGTCAGGATTCATCCTACCTGTACGGTGGGGCTAAGATTTGTTGGGGTGGACTGAACAATAAAAATCCCTATATTTTTAAAGCAGTCTAATTATTGTTTTTAGATAAATCAAGAGGGTGCTACACAAGGAGACTGGATTTGCTCCTTACATAGGGTGCCTCACACACGCCTCACACACACATCCTACCATGCATTGGGAACATTTCCTGTACTTGTAAGTTATTTTTCATGGGAGATGTTCCCAATGTACAGTGGATATGCATGTGAGGCGCCCAAGTGTGAGGAGCAGATCCTATTCCCTACACAAGATGGGAGATAGCACGTCCTCACAAATCACAAAAACAAATAAAAACGAGCAACTATGAAATATTGGAGGAATCAAAAACCACGTTACTGAAACAAGAACAAACCTGCTTCTATCTGTTTATCCTCACCTCCATCTCGATCAATACAGATTAGCAAAGAGAACCTGCTGCTATCAAGTGACCTAAACAAAGAAAATGAAGAGAAGAAAAATTTCCAGTTACATTAGCAATCTAGTTTACAGACTTGGTTTTGGGAAGAGTATAAATTAATACAAACTAGAGAATGACCCCCATACTAAGTACGGGGTAACTAAATGTGTGTATAATTTAGTGTGAAGTTTACTATTTAGTTTTCAAAAATTAAATTAAAAAAACTAATGCGGGTCTTATATCTTTGTCATTGACAATCTATTCTAACCTATTTTTTTGAAACCCACTATTAATTTATGTTTTTTTTAATTTAATTTAAGATATTAAATGAGATCTTATTAGTAAACAATAACCCATTTTATTTGGTATTTATTATTTATCTAATAAATCTATTTTGAGTTATTTATTTTTACAAGTTAAATTAGATTGCTTCGTAAAAGTTAAATCAAGTTTGTAATTAATAAAGTAATTTCTTTTTGAAAAAATATTTAAAAACAAACATGGGTTTATGGTAATCTTTTAATGGGTTCCACCATTTGTTTTTAATAAATTATGGAGAAACATGTGTTAAGCTAATAAATAACTTCTATTGAGAATGTTTAAGAGTGAAATTACCCACTTTTTGAATCATATTTTTTGAATTAATAGGATACCACATGTCTGAATGGTGGTAGTGAACTAAGGCTTTAGCAATAAATTTTCAGAAAATGCCACATGTCTAGCTTTCCAGAAAAATGAAAAGGCCACGTGTCTAAATGGTGGGGGCTGTAGCTTGGTAGTGTCCTATATAGTGGGCTGTGGGCTTTAGCAAGAATTTCTCAGAAATTGCCACATGTCTAGTTTTCCAAAAAATAAGATAGCCACTTATCTGAATGGTGATAGTGAGTTGTGGGCTTTAACAACTTCTCAGAAAATATCACATGTCTAGGTTTCTAGAAAAATGAAAAAGCCACGTGTTTGAATGGTGGGGGATCATATATATATATATATATATATACTCCATGCAAAACCTTATATATTATATTTCTAAATCTTATTATTTAATTTGCATTGTACATATTTGAATTTTTACTCCTCCCAAATTGAGCCCTATGTGTGTATACGAAACAATAGTACAAGGTGCAGCTTATAACAGCATTGGGTGCAACCCACCTAATTTAGATGGGGAAGAGGTTATGCTGAATTGCTGATGATAGGTAGTAAATGGGAAACCCCATCTCTTCGTTGGCTCAAGCATTTGAAAAAGATGACCTCGAGACCAAATTGAACATGATGCTCTCAGCGTGGGGAGGTACCATATCTGATCATAACTTAATAATTGAGTAGTTAGATACTCCTCATCTGGCCAATTGTTTTTTTCTTTTTTTGCCTTTCATGCAACAAAGATGCCATGGTGATGGTACAAAGTTGTTTGTACCGGGACTTAATTAACAATGGGTAAATGTTATGCTCACTGCCCACATAAATCATGGGCAATTTATTCCAGTAATTTATATTTTGAGGAGAAAGTTAGGTTCTATGTTTTAGGTTTTTAACTATGGAAAAGAAACTAGTAGGATGGTTTTAATTTGGTTCCTTCTGCTACCCACAGTACACTACGACCACATGACGGGCCATGAATGACAACCTACAAGTATAGAAGATTTCTCAATGTGCAGATTTAGGTGCGGGTTGCAGATCTGGACTGTAAATCTACATCCCATGTCTAGAAAACACTGGTGAATTTACTTATAATTGATCACGTAGGTTTTCACACACGATGGCTATGGTGCTAAACAGAATAGAATGGCAAAACATGATTCATGTTGCTGACCCATATAGTTGAGACAGGCTTATATGATGTTGACAATAGTTCAGTTTGAAGAATATTGGGATATTAAGGAGATGATATCAACACTTTCATATGTTCTGCCAGAATTGGCCAGACATTGTGGAGTTCGGCTTCAGTTAGGGAAAAGCCCATTCGGACAGCTTTTAATGATTTGCATTGAGAATATCTCCATAATTGTGTGTTTTATTTCATGGGAAGATATTCCCAATGCAAGGTTACAAAAGGCTGTTGAATGGTGTGGGCACAGATTTGCCCTGATAGAAGCCGATCTCGACATTGTGAAGATAAATGTATCAAGGTTAGGGAATCTTAAGGAAAAAGGAGTCCCCATTACAGGTCCTGTCAATCTAATTCTTGTATCAACAAACTAAAGGATAATTAACTTTCAAGGAAATTAGGGGTGATTCTACTGTCAAACTTGCATTCTAACCCATTTGCAGTGATGCCATATTTTCTTCTGATGGAATGACACAGGAGGTTTCTCAAGAAATCTCCATAACCAATTCTAGGAAACAAGTATTTCTCCTTTTCTTTTGGAGATGGTCCCCCAATTATTTATTTGAGGCTTCAAAGAAAATCACTAGTCACCTATTTAGTTTTCTTTAAAATCCTCATCCCTATAACACCAGTACACCACCTCTGAACTTGAAGGAGGCTTGAGGTTCCACCTTCATTTTAAAGGAGCTTGGACTGAGCGGACTCAACTCAAGGTAGAGGAAGGATGAATAGAAGACCTGAAAAGTAAAACATAGATCATAAATAGACGACCAAGATTACGAGTGTTAACGATATTTGAAAATCCAATTGGAAATAGTCAAAGCAAATTTGGATAATTCAAATATTATAATCAGTCAAATTCGAATATAACCTGATTCGATTCAATAATTATCTAAAATTGACCAATTATTTAATTTTTATATATAATATAAAACATTTAAACATTTTATATAACTTATATATAATATTTAAATTATATAAGTAATTCATATATTTATATAACTAAAATATTTATTTTATATGTTTATTAATTGCCTAAAATACTTAATTAGTCAAATATTCAAATATTTAATTGAATTCAAATTTAAACATTTATTTTCAATATCCATCAGATATCGAATCAAATTTGGATATGGCCTGATTCAATTCGATCCATTTCCACCCTTAACCAAGACAACTGCAATTGCTATCTGAAAAAGGCCAATCTCAATCTTGTTTACATAAGAATAAATTATAGAACCCCTGAACTTATAAAAATGAAAATGCAAAGCAACTCTGGGCTGCCTGGACGAATCTGTAGCGTTAGTATAGTATCATGATCTGCATCATCTTGACAAATCACTTCAAGAGTTGCAAGCCAGAGTTGCACCCCTCCTGGTCACTAAAGCATTTCCTGGGCATAACCTTCCTGATGAAGAAGAGAACCTTTTTATAATTATTTTTTTGCAATTTCTTCTCTTTATGCACCAGGACTTAAGGTAATTTCTGGATTTGTAGGGCATTTACCAGAATCCCCATTATCCAGACCCCGATAAGCTGAACAAGTCTATCAGCAGTGTTGTTAGGTATAATCCACCATTATCTATTACGAACCATACCCAAATTTCCAATGAATTCTATGCAGTTTTCCTCTTTTCAGCTGGATCTGCACAGGGGCGTCCCACAGCTTGTGATGTTTTGTGGAATGTCTTTCAACATTGTGATAGCAGGTCTCTGTGGGCTGAAGCAGGCAATATACAAATAAGCCAAATCATTAGAATGGGTACATTCATATAGTTGGAAGAATATTTTCATATATGGTGAAGGGTGGAGCGAACTAGTGGGAGAAGACATTTCAAACTGTATTTGATGGTATTAAAATGTAGTCATTCAATGGTTCAAGCCACAATCTCTAGCCTGGGTTGTAAAATTGCAATAATGCTAAAGAAGAGCTATCAATTGTTAACTCTCTCTTTGTTTGGGTTCAGGTGGAATCCTCTGGTGGATGTACAAAGCATGTTTGATCCAACTACCTTCACATGGCCAAAAGGAGGGGAAGAATCATGTGGAGATGCATAATAACTGCTATAATTTGGACGATATGGGAGGAGAGGAATTCAACTATAATTTGGATGGTTTAGTTGAGATAATAATGATTAAAGTGGTACATTGGCTGAAATCCTTGGTAGGTTTCTCATGTGTATCAACAAATGATATACTTAGGAGAAGAAGTGTTGAGTTCTTCTACAAACAAGATTGTCTTCGATCATCAATGGTCTCCACCAGAAAGAGGGTTCATCAAACTTAAATTTGATGGTAGCAGCTTGGGAAACCCAGGGCATCAGGAATTGAATGTCTTTAAAGATGAGGAGGGTAAAATCATTGCTTTACAATCCGGACTGGCTGGGGAGGACAATTCTCTTAGAGAAGAAGTGATGGCAGTGTTGGAAAGCATACAAAGGGCGAGGACAATGAACTTTGGTAAACTAATCATTGAGGGAAATTCAAAACTGGTGGTCAACTGGATACAAAATGAGGAGAAGAAGATGTGGATACATAGCAATGAAAGGAAGAAAATTGGGTGGCTAACTAGAGACATGGAAGTAAATAACAGTTGGGTTAAACGGAGTGCTAACTCTGTAACTGATGCTTTAGCTAAACAAGGGGTGGGAAGAGAATCTTTTTTCTGGGCACAGTTGTAAGGGAGAATGTATCAAGGGGGGAGATACGAGGTTTTATCTCTCATTGTCTTGTTCTGTACCTATACTCACTATACTTCTTCTAAATTGTTCTTTATTAATAATAAGAAATTGTGGTTATTGATAAAAAAAATTGTTAACTGTACAAGGACTTGATATGCTGTTTTCATAACTATTTAAGCAAGTTGAGAATTGATACACAAATAATAGTGTGATTGATTTAAGTAGGATTCATTGACAGTCTAACTACACCTTTCATAAAGCCTGGATAATTAGAAACCTGTATAAGCCTCAAAAACACAAAATAAAAAAAAGAAGAAGCAATTGATTTCCTAATAATTAGTTCCTAAATCCTAATCTAGTCTGTGATGAACACTGATAGACTATTAAAATCTTTCTGTAGTAGAATCCTTTTACCAATCATAGAGAAACATAATGAGAATACCATGATTGAATTTGAACAACAAAACCAAGTGCTTTCTTAAACCCTTAAGAACATGTATATTGGAAGGGGGCATGGAAGTCCCTAAATCTTAGTCCTTAGACGAAAACAATAAATCAAGGCCCAGTGCAGGAAGAAAAAGGGAAAAAGAAAAAAGGCTACCAATCTCACTAATAAAAATGTCATCAATCTCTAGTGTCGAATAGCTTTCTTAAAAGAAAAAAAAGAAATCTCTAATAGTTGGTTGGCACCTTAAACAATCTTACTAATAAAAATTCCATTAAACAATGTTTTTTTTGATATCTTCTGAAGGGTTGCCCATCCCCTTGAAAGGGAAGGGAGATTCATCATATGGATGGCCAAACCATGGGGGGTGGCTGGGCAAAATTTTAAAATTTTTCTTTCTCCCTTCCGAGAATCCTATTCATTGATTTAGAAAAACTGCATTTTTCAAGGTTCGTTCTTGAAACAAACCGGACTAGATCTGTAACCAAAAGGAGGGAGGGATATACCTGATACGGATTCCACAAACATAGCTCCCAACGTAGGTGTTCACGCCCAAAGATGTCACCAAAACTTGCCTCCATTGAAGACGACACAGCTTAGGATGAAGTAGGATCAGCAAAGCGGTCTTTCAGCAAGGATCACGCAAGGGATGTGACCACAACTTCAGATCTGATTTTTCTAGCAAAAATCAGAATCAAGAACAATTCTTGATCAGTCCAAGACTTTGGAGATCGAACTGGGTATGACGGCAAGAACAGAGGAAAGAACTGGATTCAACAAGTGTTTAACAGAAGGATTCCACCCTCTATTTATAACCTCTCTGGATCAGCTTCCTAATCCTATTAGGAAAGGGTTCTTTGATCCAAGTCTTTATTTGGATCTGAACTCTTAAGTGGATAAGACTTATCTTATCCTCCTGTTGATCTGGATCCAGATCTAAACTCAAATTCGCCCATAATTAATTAATCAAATTAACCTAGTTCGAATTGAACTTTGGGCCCATTAAGTTATCAGGCTCACTTCCCTTTTAATTTGCTGGCTGACTTGGCTCTCTTTGTATGGCGTGAGACCCTAGCATTGATCTCCACAAAAGCCATATGGGTTCAGCCTAGCCTCTGTTACAAGGCCTGGCTGAATTCACTGCTGAATACAGTGAACCCTTGAGTCCATCAGTATGGGCTCTTAGCAGGCCCAACATTTACACTAAATGGTCCCTGGGTCTAGCCACCTTATGAAGGCCCAGGGACTATGGACTTAAAGTGAGATTATCCCATCAGGTATAAACCCTAAATGGTCTTACACTTAACCTCTCAGCCCATAATGATCAAGCACTGCCCGACAAGAGAGGACCTCTCCCTCGGCTGCAAGGTACAGTGTCGCACTCTCTACTCAGGATGGATCCCGGAAATTAAAACCTTTGTAAACCTTTTTCATAAAACATAATATATATATATACATATAAATATATTTTACAAAACAAACCTCAATCACGTTTGAAATCCACTACCGACAGTTTAGGTTTCCATCAGAGAGTGTTATCCCCGATCATTCACTTTGTCCGACAAAGGGGCTGATTCTATCACTATGATCACCCACTCAGGTGAATTCTCAGACTACCCCAACATACCCAGTTTTGACCCCCGTTAAGGATCTCACTGATTGACATATCAAAGACAACCCAATCCAACACCTAGTGCAGTACCATAATCGAGTCTAGGGGTTAGGTGTAACTTTCCAGTTTTGCCCATCTGTCTCCAAGGTCCAGGGCATAACTAGAAAATGGTCTGGTTCAGAGTTTCAATCAAACTCACACTATATGTGCTTCAGGTCTCATATTGGCAACTGAGACAAGCCACCCCAATCGACTTGGCAGCACATTAGTGTCAGCCTTAGCAAGATAAACCTCCTCAGGTCTATCCAACGGCTGTGAAGATTCTAAACTAACACGAGTCTCATAAGTGTCCAGTTTAAGGGTATACATAGAAACACACTATATATAACATGAATCAATTATGCACTACTATTCATTTACAATAAATGTCAAAAGTACATCAATTTGATTGGAGATAAGGGCATACACTATCTAACACCCCCAACCCAGGTACGGGCGGGATTCGATCCCAAGTCTCCGCTACGACCGGCAAGAGACCTTACCAACTAGCTGGTTGGCACCTTCCAAATTTCATTAAACAATGTTAATTATAGAGATATACAATAGGTAGGTTCACACTAAAAAGTCCTACATTGAATTGCCTTCTACACACAAAATTGCATACTGGATACTTAGAAAACCTATTCTATAACAACAATAGAATATTTCAGAGCCAATCCCCAGTTGATGATGAAAGTACAACATCAGAAAATCTCACCATCTCTGAGACAGAGATCATTTATAACTTCAAGTATCATTACTTATAACTTCAATTATAACATTCAAAAAAAAAATTTACAACCTCCAAAAAACAGAATTTATAGAAATCATAATTTACCAAAAAAGAAAAAGAAAACATTTCTTACATAAAAAATAAAAAATATTATTTAACATAAATCAATTGAAACATAAAATATTAATGAAGTAGCATTAGAAAGAGAACTTACCAATCTAGTTCAAACAACTAGATTAGATCCTCCATTTGTTTTAGCTGGGATTCAACGCTAATAGATTGACCCAGCAGCCAGAAAGAGAGAAATTGGGGGAGGTTACCAGAGAAAGCCAGAGAGAAATTGATCAATTTCAATAACCCAGAAAGAGAAACTAAGAGATCTGTTCCACTAGGTCTGACAGATCCGGTGAATCCAACCAAATTCCATTGGTAATTACAACTGGATCCCACCCAACCTGTGGTCAAACACCTGACAGTCCAAATAATAAGGAGGCTTCAGTGGATCAAAGTGCATTGAATAAAAAATTGCCATCCCACACCTAGTGCATCAAGAAACAAAAAACAGCAACATAGCCTCCGTTTTTCCTCATCTTTCTTGCAAAGCATACACACATCAATAAGTTTTCCCTAGTGAATGACATTCTCATCTTGTTTGGATTTTGGGTCCTGCCTTCAAGGCTTCCTATCTACATCCCAACTATGCAGAGAGTCTCCATGTCTAACAAGAAATGCCACCATGTCATTGAACAGAACATTGCTTAAGAAAATTACATGCAAGTAATAATATGAAAAGACTTATAACTTATATGGTATTAAGTACCAACTGTAGATATGAATTTGGTTGTCACAGATTTTCACTAGTATACATAACTTTTTTTTTTGAAGAAAGTAAATTAAATTTTATTAGAATAGAGCCAGATTACAGAATACAAGAGGCCCCTAAACCAGAAATCCGGGGACCAAGAATCCAGAAAACAATACAATTAGAAACTGCCAGTGTTCAGCTGGGCTCCCAATATCCTTGGTTGGACCCCTAAAGCAACAGACAGGAGATTAGCTTTCCAACAGTACAGGACAATAGTTGATCCACTGTGTTGTGTTTATCCTGGAAATTTTTTTTGTTTCTTTCAGCCCAAATGGTGCTAATTGCAGCCACAGGAATTGAAAGCCAGACACATTTTCATAACTTAGATAATCCTCTCTGGTCCCAGCACCACAACAGGTCCAGAACAGTTGCAGGCATGACCCGAGATAGGTGCCGAGAGGAGAGAAAGTGGTTCCAGATTTTATTGGAGATAGGACAATGCAGAAATAGATGGCTGCTGTCCTCCTCCCCTTGACTACAGAACACACAAAAAGAATCCCGAAGCTGCACACCTCTCCTCTCCAGATTTTTCTTGGTAAGACACTTATCCAGCGCCACAGCCCAGATCAATGCATTAATCTTTGAAGGGAAAATCATTTATCAAAAAAAAAAAAATCTTTGAAGGGAAAATCTAGTTCCAGACCTTATCAGCAGGGAAATCAGCAAGTCTGGTTCCAGACCTTTTCACAAGTATACATAACAAAGTATACAGACACCTTTCTGGGGCATTTGGAAGATCATGTGGAATAAAATTGTATCATTGTATCATTTTTATGGCATCTGAATGCTTAAGCTCATCATTTAAAATGTATTCATGTCAATAATGTCAACAGAAAAAGAAATGGGATCATGTAGGATATTAAGGAAATCACTCAATTCTAGTCTTTGTTAAATTCTGATGATAAATCCATTTTAGACTTTAACCCTTGCATTCAAATGCTAAGGAATACCAAAAAGAAAAGTGATTCCATTTCATGTCTTCTAAAGGACCCCTTACACCTTAAAGAATATTAATTACATGAACATCAAGATTACCACCCTACAGAGCTAAATGCACTGAAGCATTAGGCTATTAGCTAAATTATGAGGATGTACAATCAAACCTGTCAACATCTTGAGTTCGGCTGACAAATGAAGTGGGTCACCAGTAATCCTGGCAAGAACATGTACCATCTCTGAAATGATGGAATCGATGCTTATCTCGAACAATAATCTTTCTGCTGGTGACAATTGAGATGAATTTAGTTGCAGAATGACAATCATCACACATTCGAAGATTCTTGACAATCCTAATTGTTGTTCCATGGCTGGTGTTCATGATACCAAATGCTATTGCAAGCTTCTCACTGTGGCATCTAAGCGCAAATTCCCTTTCCTCTTCTTCCAATTCGTGCATCACTGAATTGGATTCTGGTATATAACCTGCCTCCCTAGACTTTGACATCAGCTCCTCCAGATACCTATAGATTTCAGTTGTCTGTGGGTGGGACTTGTCACCCATACAAAACATGTGGGTCACCTGATTGACCTCTATCAAGCTATAGCCAACTTGCTTCTTTAGGCCTTTCTCTATCATTCTGCTTCTTACTATTTCCACTTGATCCATCCTTCCTGCCAAAGCATACATGTTAGAAAGCAAAACATAATGGGACGATTTCTCAGGCTCTAATGCTAGGAGGCGATCAGCCACTTGTGCTCCAAGACTGAAATTCTTGTGTAACTTGCATGACCCGAGCATTGCTGTCCACACTGCAGGAGCCGGTTCTCCTTGTATTGTTTCCTCAATATACCTAACTGCATCGTCAAGAAATCCAGCACGCCCAAGCATGTCAACCATGCAAACATGATGCTCCATCCTTGGCATTAACCCATAGTCATGTCTCATACATGCAAACACCTCACGCCCCTCGTTTACTAACCCAGAGTGGGCGCATGCAGATAAGACTGCTACAAACGTGACATCGTTTGGTGGTGGCCCATGGGATCTCATTTGATGAAAGAGATCAATGGCCTCATGACCATAACCATGCATACCATATCCAGAAATCATAGCTGTCCAAGCGACTACGTTACGTTCAAACATCCCATCAAAAACTTCACGTGCTTTTGCTACATTTCCACATCTAGCATACATGTTGATCAAAGAAGTACCCAGAGTTACACTAACATCAAAGCCATTATCAATTATATAATTATGCACCCACTGGCCTAAACTAAGATCTCCTAATTGAGAACAAGCAGACAACAAGCTCACCAAGGTTGCTGAGTCAGGTTTCACTCTCAAATCCCACATTCCGTTAAACAATTCAACCGCTTTCTTAGCAAAACCATTTTGCTCATAACCCGAAATCATTGAATTCCATGCAATGATAGTTCTCGCAGGCATTTTGTTGAATACTTTCCGTGCAACAACCAAATCACCAGCTTTTGCATATAGTGCCACCAGAGCAGACTGAACGAATGAATCTGAACCAAACCCAGAAACTAGAAGATGAGAGTGTATGATTCTACCGAATCCCAAATCAGATAAATCTGCACACGCTTTGATAACGGCAGTGAAGGTGTAATTAGATGGGGCAAGTCCGGCTAGGCGCATACGTTGATAGAACAGGATAGCGTCAAAAGGGAAGCCAGACTTAGAGGAGGCTCTGATGAGGCCATTAAAGAGGAAAGAGTCAGGTTCCGAAACAAAATAAAAGAGTTGACGAGTGTAAACAATTGAACCGGCCGTGCAGGCCAAAGTAAGGAGCTTTGTGATAAGGGCTCGGCTCCGGTGGAGACCAGAGACGATGATGTGGGCATGGACTTGTTGGAGAGGTCTGAGACGAGTGCCTGCTTGTAAGAGAGCTTTGTAGGTCGGGGAGTGTGAAAGAGAAGGTTGCTTTGCTTGTTGAACTTGAAGCTGCTGCTGCAGCTGCGACTCCATTTTAAAGGTCCATGAGACCAATGGAGGGAATTTTAAACATATTATACACAGAGACACGAGCCAGAAACGATATTGCCGGGTGGCAAGTTCAAACTTATGAGGTGTCAAGTTGCAGATGAAATGAGCATCTGCCACGTGTAAAACGTATATGTACGAACTTGGCATTCATGACACGTGTCTCATGTGTATATGAGTATATATTTGAAATTCCCTCCACCTAGGCCTTAATACTCCACCTTCCTGCTTCCGAGCTCCGAGGAGAACAAGAGAGGGAAGAAAATCGGGAAAAGTGAGGATGAAACCATTGCCGATATGTACTCCTTCTGGTCAATCTGGAAGCAGCAGAAAAGCATGGATAGTGCATAGCTTGGTTGCCGGAGCTGCAATTGCAGTGGCAATAGGAGCCCATGCCGTTTTTTCTGGTCGTCGATTTGGCAAATTTCGAAGCACGGTTATTGGAATAATACCCGCCCGCTATGCTTCCTCGAGATTCGAAGGCAAACCCCTTGTTCAAATCCTTGGGAAGCCTATGATCCAGGTACCCGTCTCAAATTTGATATTCTGTTGTTCGTTGTCTTCGATCTGTTTATTGCTTCTTTTATGCTATTAATGTATTACTCAGTTTTGCTCTTAATCGGACGACAGCCTAAAGTCTATTTTGCTCCACGTCCAGATTTCGATTTTTTCCTCTTGTTATTTTAATGTCTTCGTTCCTCTTTTTTAGTTCCATTGAGTTATTAGTTTATTATACTGTCTGTTATTCTTAACTCGTGTTTGGGATCTGAAACCAGCAACTAAGGATTTGGGTTATTACCAACAACTACAGATTTTGTACATATCTGCCTCTCTGGATGAATTCATGAATGAATATGATTGCACACTTATATTTATTGGATTTTCTGACCAAGCATTAGTAAGTTTGGGTGAAACTTACATGGTGCATTAAATAGCTTCAGCTTTGAATGGTGCGCTGTTTTCTTACATTCTCAAGTTCGGGCAAAACGAAAATTATAGGAAGAATAATAATGGTTTTATTGGATCCATGGAATTCCGACTTGTAAAGTGTAAACAATAACGTGAATATTATCTTTTACGACTGAGCAATATTTTACGAGGAAGAAAACAATGGGAATGAAAAGAGAAAGATCTCAAGGGGTGCATATCATGCACATTAGGATGGCTGATAGTAACGAAAAATGTAAAAAGTAAACGAAAGGTTAACAACTGTGAATTGCAAGGTCCGTACTACATAATAGTGTAGTTAAAGGTACTAGGGAATGTACAGATGCCAGCATTTAGGTGCCTACGTTGCTAGATTATTGTTCTCATTATTGGCTGTCCATTAGAGTTTTCTTAAGAATTAAAACCTGGGTCAGGGACTCAGGTCCTTCCTTCACATGCTTGTGTCTCCACAAGGGAGCATTCTAAAATGTTGCTTTCATGCCTCAGTGCTTTGTTAGACTGGAAGGGGTTTGAAATAAGGAGACACTAAAACTGCCCTTTTTTACAGAAGGTGCTTAGTAGAGAATCTTTATGGGGCCAAAGCTGGGATTTTAAGGGCTTTCAGGTTGAATTGTATCTTCCATTGATAGTTCACCATCAATTTGTCAGAAACACCTTGGTTTTTTATGTAACTTCCCATTTGTTTCTGTGGTATCTGAGATGTATGTTGTTTAAAAATCATATCCAGCCTTCATATTAATTTCAATGAAAATAATGTCTTTGGTGTGGAAGTGGTGTACATTTGCATCATTGTTGACTGTTTAGTGTGGAGTCCAGTATCCAGTGCTCGCATTGGCACTCTTGGGAGGTAATGTCATTGGCATATATGTGGAGCTGGTGGTAGAAGGAACTGAGAGAACATATGCCCCTTAAGCAATGTTTATCTATGGGTAGTAATCTTGCTTTTATTAGAATATCCCCTTCAAGTCTCTAAACCTATTTCATGTTTCTCTGTGTTTGTGCTGGCTAGAATTGCTTTGAAGGTTGAGAAGTTGCAGCCAGGTTTACTGTGAAATGGAATGGATGGCTTGTTCAAGTTCACTAATGGCTTGGGATTATGTTACAGACCTAGGCGTGTTCAGGGCTTGTTTTCACTACCTACAACTCATGAATAAGGTATTCGTTTGAAAAAGGACATGGATCTGCTTCGTTGTATGGGTTAGGGGTGTGGAACCACATTATGTGAATCTTTGGCTAGTTTAAATCGGTAAGGGAAGATCATCAGAATTTTGGATGATGTGGTACAGGGGGCTATCTCTCAAGATTTCTTTACTATGTATACGGTTCCAACAGAAATGCTACATTTGCTTATTTGATATAAGAAAAGCATTGCTTCAAGTTCTCAGCTTTGTGGCACTCAAAAGTGTTTGCTATGTGGAAGTTGAAGGTTACTCATAGATTTTTGTTGGATGCATCATAAATGAAGGGGAGGTTCCTTCTGTTTTCAGATATTATGTTAGAGAGGCTGAGCTCTGGTTTCTAGATTGCACACCTTATTTAAAAGGGTTTGGATTCGGGAAGTCTGCAATATCTCTGGGAATATAGCCTAGCAGCCTAGGCAGAGGTGATGCAGGAAGGAGTGGGTTCTTTTGGGTTGCATAACTTCCAATTAGTTGCTTATCCTCTTGATTTTAATTGATATAATTTGTCTCGCCTCTTGATTGGGAGGCTATATACTCTGGTGCTGCTCTTGATAGGTGGGCTATTTGATTGATGTCCACTTTGATCTGGTTAATTATAAGGAAAAAGAGGATGAAATATGTGGAAAATTGATCTATTATTGAAATGTCTTTGTTTTCTCCATCCCTGCACTGTATCATAAGTTACTGTGTTTCCTAAAATATTAGAAAAACAAATATTTGATAAATAGGATCAATATCATCATATAAGCCTTGTCTCAATTATGTGGGGACTGGGGAAGCTACACAAATCCTGTTCCGCCATTTCATTCTGTTTAATTTCATATCCATTGTCAAATTATGGGCCCTTAAATCATTTCTCACTACTTCAGCCTATGTCATTTTTGCTCTGTCTTTAGCCCTTCTGCATATGACCAAACCATCTTTGTCTACTTCCCTCTTTTTATCACCTATTGGAGCTACCTAAGTTCCTTCAAGTAAGTTGATTTCTGATCCTATCCTTTCTGGTTGTCTCACTCACCTATTTCAGCATTTGCATTTCTCCCATACTCCTTTTTTGTTACTTGACCGTCTAAAACTCTTCTCCATACAACATTGTTGATCTTGTAACTGTTTTAGTAAGTAGGATGTCTAGGAGTCTTTGGCTAGACTGGTGTATATTTGGATGTTAATGTGGCTGTGTTTCCTTGTTGGTGAATGAAAATCAAAAGAATTAGGCTTTTGAGCTTTGCAAAGAGTATGGAGAAAGAGAAATCATTCGAATTTTGGACTTCCTTTCCAAGTGTTTCAATAATAAAAGAAAATATTTTAAGATTTGTGCCACTAATTATGAAAAAGTATGCTTAACCATGATTTTCAGTTAAGCTTAGCATTTGGATTACATGACTACAAAGTTTAATTCGAAATCCTGTATATGCTTAGCATGTCATGGTGTTATGTTTTATGCACGCAAAAGTTGTCACATCTTAAATCATTCACCTAACAATTTTAAGTTCTTTGATACAGAGAACATGGGAGAGAGCCAAGTTGGCTACCACATTGGACCACATAGGTATATTTCCTCAAAAAGGAACAACCATTCCCCTCCTGTGTCTGTATGTTTGTGTTTGACTCATCTTCCATTATCTTACCACTTCTAGCCTTTTCTTTGGCACTAGTTGTGGCAACGGATGATGAAAAGATTGCAGAATGCTGTCAAGCATTTGGGGCTGATGTAATAATGACATCAACTTCTTGCCGGAATGGTAAGATTTTGTCTGTTCATTTTATGCAACTTTTGAGATTTACTGAGAGATATGTACATCTCATAACTTTAGTTTGATTTGCAGGCACTGAACGTTGCAATGAAGCACTACAGAAGATTGAGAAGAAGTATGATGTTGTTGTCAATATTCAGGGGGATGAGCCTCTTATTGAACCTGAAATAATAGATGGGGTTGTAAAAGCTCTACAGGTAGTTTCTTTTTTTTTTTTCTCCTTCTGGTATTGGTGTTGCAATGGTTTCTTTAGGAGTTGTGGCTGAACATCTCAGTAACAAAATATGTGGCTTTCTTTTCTCCATTTTTTAACCTCTTTAAAAAACTTTACAAAAAGATGATCTAAAATCTTCCAACTATAAATTTGGCCTAAATCTGATGTTTCAAAAACTTATCTATTTTGCTTGAGTTTGGTTTCATTGAAGAGGTTATCTTATTAACTAGTCCACAAGTCCTAAGATCTCATGATAAAAGCATGACTCAAGCAAGTTATCGCCAATTTAGAAACACCCAGCTAGTTCATGATGGATTCCCTATTTATAGGTTATTTGAGTTTCACTTTCTATTTTATGTATGTTTTGGATTCGAATGAGAAAAAAGTTTCTAATGAAGATGTGATTTACTAGTTTGTAGAAGGTTGCTGGCCAGAAGGTTGCTTGTTTGAGGAAATGAATCCATTCGGGAGTTACTTCTTAAGTGGTTTAATATAGCGAAGCATTCACATAATCAATGGGCGATTGTAGTGGGTATGGTTGCTTGTTTCACTACTTGGGAATTGGGAATTGCGGAAAGATAGGGACAGACACAAAATGGAGAATTTGTTTAGATTCTCTCAAAGTGTTATCCTTTTAATTAATAGATGGTTTCATGAGACTTGCACTTTTCATTATGTCCACAGCTTCTCTAAACATGGGACAAACTTATCTTTGTCTAGTCTTGGGCTTCCTATTTTACCTACTAAAACTAAGGCGGTTTATGCAAACCCAACTGGACAAGGTTTTGTGAAGCTGATTGTAGACAGGATGCCTAGAGGGAACTTTGGTGGAGGTGGAATCATTAGAGATGGAAGAAATTCCTTGTTGGAGTTTTCCATAATTTATATGGGATTGATACAAATCTCATGGTGCTCATGCATTACTAGATGGACTACAAATGGTTAAAGCATTGGATTTAGATAAAGTAATGGTGGAGATGGATTCCCAAACATGATATCATTAAGGATTCATCAAATCTTCCTCGGAAGTTATGGTATTGAAAATCTCTTTCGTTGGATATTATGGATTCTTTGGATATTGAAAATTTCATGTTTTAAGGGAGGCAAATTGGGCCGCTGATGCTCTTTATAAATTAGGATGTGAGTGCAGCCAGAAAACTCTAATTGCTTTGAAGATCTTCCTTCACATGTCCAAAAGTTAATCAGAGACAATGGTACTGGCATTTCTTTTCTGCGAGTAAGATGATCTTTGTTTGTTTTTTGGGGAGCATCAGACCTTTTATTGTATTTTTATGATCCAATGACCCTTTGTATAGATTTTCTAGAGGGGTAATATTTTTACATCTCCCCCCAGGTGTTTCTTTTAATCATTAATAGAATTTATGGTGGCCACCCCTCCACCAGGCGTTAAGTTTGGGGTTTAAAAAATATGAGAAAACTGTTTTCTTTCAGAAAGTTCAGTTTGGGCTTGTATTAGTTGGATATCAAGTTGATAGTAGTTAAGAAAATAAGAAGTTTAGTGATAAGGAGTTGTTTTATTCTTCCTTTTTCCTATAAATTAGAATCCAAGAAGTTCATAGGTTTATGGTGTACTCATCAATTGTTACAGCCAAAAGGATAAAATTCTTTTTTTTTTTGTTGGAGGGATTCGTCATTTGGAGGTCAAGATGCTTCCATTGCCTTGGTGGGATGTCTAATAGCACTTCCTCTTGGTGTGAAGTCTCCATCTACCAAAACTACTGCAAATGTTTCAAAAGAAAAAAAAAAAAGTAGGTGTACAACATATAAAAGGCTCGCCATCGTTAATCATATTAAAAATGGAATGCTCTAACCATCCAACAAGTGAGTACTATTCCATCACATTGAACCCTCTGTGAATAACTCCATCTTTGTTTTTGTATAAAGTCATGTGATCTTTAGATCATAAGGGATCATAAGGTACTTTTTTTTTTGTCTCATTTTAGTTTGAATTGACTGGATCATCTAAATGAACTCTGCAGAGAGCCCCTGATGCGGTCTTTAGTACTGCAGTCACATCATTAAAACCTGAAGATGGGACTGATCCAAACCGGGTAAAATGTGTGGTGGACAATCGTGGTTATGCAATATACTTTTCAAGGGGATTGATCCCCTATAATAAGTGAGTCTACAGCATACTATCATTTAGTTGAATGGTTCAAGTGTCCTTCATAGTATCATTTATTGTATTTATCTGTCCTTGAATATTTCACAGGTCTGGGAAATTCAATCCTATGTTTCCATATTTACTTCATCTTGGTATTCAGGTATCATAGTAACACAATGCTTTTTTGCTTTAACCTGCCTTTATGGATATATATTCTTGCTCAGTTATGTATGTTATTATTATCATTCTGTAGATAACTTTTTACCTGGTAATGCTGCCTATCTTTTGTCTACCAGAGCTATGATTCTAAATTTTTAAGGATATATCCAGAGCTTCCACCCACGCCATTACAACTAGAAGAAGATTTAGAGCAGCTTAAAGTCCTTGAGAATGGGTATAAGATGAAGGTATCATCAAATATTAAGGCATTCTCCATTGATGATTTTGTTTTCACATTTTGTATTTAATTAATTTGACACTGAAATGCTTCATCATGATTACTAGCTTTAGGGTACCTTCTTCCATAGGTGCCTAAATATGTTGCACATTAAAAACCAGAACAGCTTCTCTCGGTTGTATTGATCTAATGTTGATATGCAATGTCAGATAGAAGGCCTCAATAATAACTTTGACGGTTTGACCATGAAGGTATCATTGACTGTATAGTGTCTCAAGAAGTGCCCAAGGTTTTATTTAAGTAATTGAAGCCCTTTTAGGAAGGCAAAACATCTCATTAAGAATATGGTTTATACTTAAATGGTTGATAGCTTTATCTCCAAGAAAGTCATTGGTTTACTTCTTTCATGATGAAATTTTTAGGGCTTTTGCCTTCTGTTGTACATCACATCATCTGAAAAAATGGTTTTCACTTTTCAAGGCCGTTTTCAAATGTCTTTGAGTGGTTTTTCATGTCATTCACAATTATAAGTCAGTTTTTCATGTTCCTAATCTAGGGGAATGTTTTACATTAGATAGTATACAAGTGCAGCTTTATTTTCGATGTATTGGAAGAAAAGAATAACAGAGTTTTTAAAGACAACAATCAGGAAAATAAAAGCATTAGTAGAAAGCAAATCTATTAAGGTAATTCATTGGGTAAAGACCTTTGGAAGTGTTTGAACATTTTTCTACTGATAATATCATTTGAAATTGGAAAAATGTGGTGGCATATTCATCTTTAGCAAGAGTGACTGTAATTGGATCCTGGTCCCTTCCAGCTATGAATTATCACTTTAAACCTTGATGGTTATAGTTTGGGAAATTCAGGGACATTTGGCGTTGGTGGTATGTTTAAGATATGGATGGTAGTGTATTAGCTGTGTTTTGTCCCTATTGGATGTGAAGACTCCATTGGGACAGAATTGATGCTTGTGTTGTAAGGGCTGAGATTGGGGAAGTCCTTAGATTATAGCAATCTCTCAGTGGATGGAGATTCCAGAGTAGTAGTGGGATGGTTCTAGCAAAACAGTATAGGCCCATGGTTATACAGGTATGAATAAAAAGTGAAAAGACCATCCGAGGAGCTGAGTTATGTGGTATGGATCGGCCAAGAGGGAAGTTTATAATTATTAGAAGTAAAAGTGAAAATCTAGGGATGGATGACAGTGCTAGCCCATTATGGGGGCGCTACCGCGCTAGGCATGCTTTTATACACTTATTATTCTTTCATTCATCAAGTAATAAATTGATCAGCTATGAAAAAAAAATTACATAGTATATATATATATATATAATATTTTGTGAAAGGGAAAGTACAGTTTAAAAGCTAGCATCCTGCAATTGGTAATAGGTCACATGCATTTACTGCTGTCCTTTTTCTTTGAAACTATTTTACTAAGAAGTGTCATTGAAGACCAATATCATTCAAAAGGTAACCAAGAACGTTCTTTATAAGATCATTTTTATTTCTTAGCTATCATGGTTGCAAAGGAGGACGGTACAATTGCCATGTGTATTGAACCATCATTGCACCATCATGATTAAAAGTGTTAATAGCATGATTTTCTGGCCATTTACTAGAAGTTTTTGAAAAACCACCGTGCTTGCAGGTTATCAAGGTGGACCATGATGCCCATGGTGTGGACACCCCAGAAGATGTTGAGAAGATAGAAGCACTGATGCGTGAGAGGAACTTGTCTTAGGGCCTGTTTGGAGGGCTTCAGCATTGATTGAGCTGTGTTGACCAAGCCACATCAGAGAAGCTATCAAAACTAGTTTCACTGGAAAGTCGATTTCTCAGCTCAAAGTAAGTGCCTTTGGAAAGTCGATTTCCCAGCTCAAAGTAAGTGTCTTTTGGCTTTCTGAGTTTTTCACCAAACATAGCTTTATGGCTTCATGCATGGGGCCTACTTCCTACATTGCAATGTGAAAGCCCTCCCAAATGGGCACTTAGAGCCTTAGACTCTTACTGTATAGCAATGAAACTATTAATTAAGGAGCTCACAATCTGAAATAAGACTGTCTTTACAGTTTTCAATTTTTATATATTTTTTGGGCCTAAGGATTAATTTTGTTGTCATGTTACGTTATTACTCGCGCAATTTTTTTACTAAAATTTTGGTGTCTGAATATGTAGAATGGAAACGACGACGAATGGAAAAGAAAAAAGAAACAGAATTTCATGCGGCTTTCTAGCTCAAAGAGTCAATATGAGTGCACCCTATTGACCACGCTTCATTACAGTCACATGTTTCCAATGATTTCTCTCCCAACACTCTTTTTGATAGGCTTCCACTGGGTAATATGGGGATGAGGCTAAGGTCCAGGATTGGCTGGGCCAGAGGACAGGGAAAGACACGGGACACTACTGAAGGACTGATTGCCATTTCTCTGAGTTTTAATCTGGGTCTTTGGGGGAGATGTGCTCAGTGCTTACCACCTGATTATTTGTGCGGAAGTCATTGACATGTACTTTGATGTAAAAGGAACTAATTTGTGAAAGGAGTTAAATCCACCCAATAAGTTAAAAAGAATATACCTATAGCCAAGTCGAGATGGTAAAATCATGTAAACTCAGATGAAATGCCCAACTTGTGCTCATCAAACATGATATTTTTTGGTCAAGCCATACGTTCAAGTGAATATTAATTGCCAGTTATGAACTCACGGACATCGAATTGTAAACCCACCGAGTCTCTATTCTGAACCACCATCTTTGAATAACACTTAAGCAACTGCAAAATAAGTGACTGCAAAAAGTGTGCAGTGTGAAACTGGTGTGCATTGCGGATCTAGTGAATAGTGTGAAAATCTCAGGGTCCGTTTGGTTTGAGGGAATAAAAGTCTGGAATCGAATTCATTCCCATCCTCAATGTTTGGTTAAACAGAATTCTAGGCGGAATGGGATTCCCCCGTATGGGGGAATAGTCGTCATCGTCGAACCGCCCTTCGACGAGGTAAGATCGCCGCCAACCCATTCTTCTTTGGTTCTTCCCCGCCGCCTTCCAAATCAACCACACATGCTTTGATCCGGGACGGGGAATAGTCGTCATCGTCGAACCGCCCTTCGACGAGGTAAGATCGCCGCCAACCCATTCTTCTTTGGTTCTTCCCCGCCGCCTTCCAAATCAACCACACATGCTTTGATCCGGGACTTGGGATCTTCTCTGATGCAGGATCTTCTTTTTCTTCCCTGCTTTCTCTTCCTCTCCTTTTTCCTTCTTTTTTCTTTAACCAACTACAATATGAGTTTTATTTTTTGCAGATCCGATCAGTAAATCCAAGTTTTGCTCCTCTGTACTTGTGGAAGGAATGGTTGCGTCAGTAAGGTGCTTTGACACTAGAGATCTTCTATGTCAAAAAGTTCATCTGATAAGATGATCATAATCACCCTGATCTGGAAACTCCTTTGCTCTGCCCGGCAAGCTCCTAACTTCTAGCCTTTGACAACCTTTGACAGAGAAAGTTTGATTGGCCAGTAATCCATGTGGGTCAACTTTGGCCTATGAGATCTCAGTTGAGATGCAACCAATAAAAAAATCAGTCAAGAATCATAAAAAATTGGCTTCTAGCTTCCCTGCACGCTTGACATGATCACAAGCAGGGTGCACTATTTCTTAAGTCCTGCTCTGTTGCAACAGTCTTGTCTATATTGAGTGGACTCAGTTCATTTTATAGTAAAGCCAGTGCATTAAGCTTCGGATTTTTTCTTGCTATACTTTGTAGGAGGGCTATCTGGTCTATGAGTGCAATTCAATGTGCAGCTGTGACAAAACTTGCGGGAATAGGGCTTTGCAGAATGGGGTGTGAGTCAAACTAGAAGTCTTTAAAACAGAGAATAAGGTAATGTTTTCAACTCTTTCATGGTCGTCATGAAGTCTATATTTATTTACTGCTTGGTAATTTGTAGGGTTGGGCAGTCAGAGCTGGTGAAGCAATCTCATGTGTGACATTTGTGTGTGAATACATTGGGGAGGTTTTAACCGATCAGGAGGCAAAGAGGAGGAGCGAGAGGTCTTGAATTCTTTACCATGGACCTTTTTTGGTTTCCATTAGTAGGTTCTAATGTATTTGCATTTGTATATGTTGTTTCAAAATTTCAGGTATGGTAATGAAGGCTGTAGCTGTTTGTATAGCATCGACCCTCGTATCAATGATATCAACGGATTGAGTGAACTTTAATATCATATTTGGAGTGTTCATGTGGCTTGCAAATTGAAGCTTCAAATTCATGGCATATTGAGGCCAAATGACCAACTATGCACTAAAGCACTGATGAGTGATGCTTTTATTTGTCAAGGTAGTCTCTCCGGGGATTTTTATTCCCCTTCATCATTATTATGTTGTATATTCTCTGCCTAGGATGGTTAATATTAATGTATTAGTGATATATGCTTATTGGTTTTGTAGTTGCTCGCCCAACCTTGTCAGTTACCTAGTTCTGGTGGAGAGCATGGATTGCCAGCTTGCACACATTGGCCTCTATGCCAGTAGAAATGTATGAATTCTTCTCTTAACCTGATGGAATACTAATGAACTTCCTTTCACAACTAATGAGGCCCATGCGAAGATACATGATTGGATGCAAGTAGCTCATGAAAAACTTTAACATGTATGTGCATGAATGGTTTGATCTCTCACATCAACTGATGTAAACATTCTGGTGGTACTAAATATTAATGTTAGAAAGAAGAAGAAAAGACCATCAAAAGAACTAGAAAAAAAGAAGGGTGGGGGTAGAGAGAAATAATATGTTATGGGTATATAAGAGTTCAGTTGGCACAACTCCTTTTTGTGTATGTTTGGGGGTGTATTTTTTTACCTCTTTAAAAAAAAATTGCAATGTTATTTTATGTGTTATGGGTATATAAGAGTTCTGATGGCATGAAATGGTTGAGACAGAAGATTACTGTTTTTTACATAAATAATGGGTTCTAAGTAAATGATGGTTTGGTGGCTATTGATTAATGTAAATTGTTTGGTTATTGATTAGATGTTGGAAATGCTTCTCTAGTTTCTAATATGAGCATCTCGTTTTCAAGTAAAAATTGAAAACCACAAACATTTTTTCTGAAATTTCTGCAATTTCCTGCAAATTTTCTGTAATTTCTATAATTTTCTGCAAAATTCCTGATATTTTCATGCATTTTTTTGAATTTTCTGTGAAGTTGTTGTAATTTCTACATTTTCCTGCAAATTTTCTGTATTTTCTGATTTTTCTACAAAATTTCTAGTATTTTCATGCATTTTTATGAATTTTCTACAAAATTATTGTAATTTCTCCATTTTCCTGCAAAATTTCTGCGATTTCTGCATTTTTGGTATTTTGATACATTTTCTGCTTTTTTTATTAGGGGCAAAATTGGAAATCATGGCTGATTCCGATTCGAGGCTCTTAATGAACCAAACAGCATAAATCAGAATCCGATTCTGATTCTGGTCTGAACCAAACAACCAAGCGAAATAGGTCATTCCAATCATGAACCAAACAGGCCCTCAGATGTGCATTGTGAACTACAAATATGGTGAATAATGCGAAACTCTCATATGTGCATCGCAAATCATATGCACACCAAGTCCATACTTCCACTTCCACCATAGACCACTATGAAATTTTGTTTCCAAATTTTTTTCAACTTGAATCGCATTGGATCATAAGTGGGTTGCAATTGGAATTCAAGGCACCCAGACCACTATTAGAATCATTGTGAATAGATGACCAATTACAACCAATTGATTTAAGCATTATATTATCTATACTACTTTAAAAAGTATAAATAGTCTTAAAAATATTTTTGGAATTTTGTGATGACATAATTAACCCTCTATATTTAAATTTATTGATAAAAAAATGAGGACAAATAAGGTAATTAGTTATTGATATTAAACGAGTTGAAAATAGTTAATTTTAAGATATTCAATGCATTCAATTATCTCTCATTAAATCTAATATTTATGGTATTAATTTGCATTTATCTTCATTAAATTATATATTTAAGGCTTTTTCATTTCTTCTCATCATTAAATTCTATAATTAAGTACATACATAATAAATTAATAATTTCAATAACATAAAAACTTATACTTTTAAAATCTACATAGAAAAAATAGTGCTTTTAGGTGGTGGTATGAAATTAAATCTGTCAAATGGGTCAATCCATGTTGCCATAATTAAATAATAAATTCAAAAATATAGAAATTAAAAAAATAAAACGTTTTTAACATCATATATTTGAAATATTAAACAATAATACGTATAATAAATAATGTTTTAAAAACTGACCTGGAGGTTAACTCGTTTTTGCCTTCAGGTCACAGGTCACTAGTTCGACTATCAAGGTTAAAAGAGTCAAACCTCTCTGCGTTAATGTTGTGTGATTTATGCACAGTTAATTCAGGCAAGTGTACCTTAGTCAAATGTGCATATAATGATGAGAAAAATGTCGATCCCACAGAGACTAGATCATAGTACCAAATCAATTTTAAACTAACTTAAGTTGAACTCGTGAATCAATTAAATAAAAACTAAAAGAATTAATGCAAATCCAAGAACTTAATAAAAACTGAATTGATAGATGAATGCAACTAGGGTTTAGATTTCATTGAATCAAGGTTACATAATTATCTATTTAATCCAACTCAAAACTGAAATTACCCTAAGGTATATTAAAGTTATTTGCATGTGATGGTGGATTTTCCTAAATTAATTAATAAGCTTTCTCAAGTCATATTAATCCAATTCTACTATCAAATTTCTAAGTGGTTGTCAAAAGGAAAAATAAGCATTAATTTCTTTGGAAACTTCTAATCGTAAAAGGGGATTTAACTCACTAAACTTCCTTGATTACCACACATGAGCTAATCATCTTTCGATATCATAGTCTATCATGCGATTTTTATTGCCTAGGGATTTAATTCATAACAATCATTTGGTCAGTCATGCATGAATCATCAAATCATTAAAAGATTGGCTAATTCTTTTAAAGCATTAAGCATAGTAATAAAAATTCATCATGCAAATAATAAAGGTCTAGAATTGAATTAAACAAGTAACTATATAATCTTAAGATCAAAATCTATCTAAACACTGGCTAAGAGAATTTAGTTAGGCATCATTAAATTTAACATACTCAAGAAAATTAAAGGGGAAACATAGCAAGAACACATCAAAGAATGAATAGAATAACAAGAAAATTTTAGCCTTTGGAGGTCGAAGACAAGTGCAGCAACTAAGCCTTCCCCCCTCTTGAATTCGGATTCTTCCTCTCCTTCTCTGGTGTGCTGAAATTGTTTCATATTCTCTTCTGATTTGTTGAAACTGTTTCCTCTTCTCTTCTCTACTGAATTTTCTCTAAAGATGTGCCCATTTGTTTTGAGTCTATGGTCCTTTTTATATTACAGTCTCCCCTCAATTGCTTTTCAATGCAGACTCCTAATTCAACACAAATTAGGTCTCTTAGTCTTTATCTCAATTGAATTTCCATCTCTTCTGCACTGCCAACTGCTAAACCCGAAACTTGTAGCTCGAATTGCACTTGGTTGGTAGTGGAATTAGGTTGAGTGATAAACACAGGAGTTTTAGCCCCATCTCTTATCTTCAATTAGCCGTTTGAATCATCTCAATCTGAGTTGTAGGCAGAAAGTTATGCCCAAAATACGGGAACTATATCAAAATAGGAAATTTCTCGATTTTTGTAAATACATATCAAATCCGATTTCAATGGATTCTCTCATTCATGGCTACATCCTGGAGCATCATTGCTGCATGGTACTTCCTCTATGATTATCTTGATCAATTAAATCGAATTCTTCCTTAAAATTGCACAACTAAGCTCCAAATCATCTTGCAAGATAATTTCATCATAATTAGTGTAATATCATGTTAATTCCAGAAACATTATTACCCAAAATCATAAAGTTAGAGGTATGAAAATATTTACAAGTATAGGCTTATCAGTTAACACTGTGTGTGCGTGCGTGTGTGTGTAAAAATACATTTTATTAATAAATAGTATAATTATGTTTTACATATATCATAGTTATGTTTTACATATATTACATATAATATATGTATTATGTTACATTAGTGATGTTTTTAATTCCACTATAAAATTTTTTATGTATAAAAGATATTAAAAATTGCAATTTGAGGCCAAAAAACGGTTTTTTTTGTGAAAATGGCAAGGCAAAGCATATAATGCCCTTGGGACGTGTAGATCTTGAAAAGTTACTTAAAAATATAAAAAATTCCAATCGAACATCGGAGTGCAAAGTTATGGCTTCCAAAAGTTTGCATATAATTAAATGTGCAACCTACAACTTGGTTATTGGGTCGAACTGGTCAATGGTTGAACTACCCAAGTAAGACGGTTTTTAACCAAAAGGGGGAGTTTCAACATAACCAAACCTAGAATCAAGGCCGAGTAGCGATTCGAATGGTTCAATCGGCCAAGTCAACAACAAGTTGAAAACATTAATGATAAATAAGAAATGTTTTTATTAATTATGGAAATGAAATGTAAAATTTAAAATCAATTGGAAGTAAAAGTATTTTCCTATTATCTCTCATTAAATCTCATATTTAAGGTATATTCTCTTATTAAATCCTATATTTAAGATATATTTTTCTCATCATTAAATTGTACTAATTAAATCCACAACATTAATTTTAATAATATAAAAATAAATATTTTAAAAAGTAATTTGAAAACAAAACCATTTTCTTTCCTTTGGGTGATGGGTAAGCAATTCAACCATTTGGGGTCAAATCCGTTAATAAATAATGTTATAAATGATAAAAAATAAGTATGAAATGTAAGAAGTAAATGATAAAAAATATTGTATATTCATTATACTGAACAATGTAAGAAGTATATTTGTAAATAATGAAAATGGAATGCCAAAATTAAAATCAACCTAAAAATGAAATGATGTCATGGTCAAATAATAAATTTTTAAAAATAGAAAATGCAAAGAATCACAAAAATAAATATTATACATAAGATATAATGTTATATGTTTATAAAAAATAAAATATTGGATACATATATAATATTACACATTCATTATATTGAACAAAAATAAATATTAGGGAAAATTCTCGATTAGTACCTTGTACTTTGGCTTAAATGACAATTTGTTCCCGAACTTTAAAATGCGACAATCCAGTACCCAAACTTTCAAAATGTCACAATCCAGTACCCGGACTTTCAAAATGTGACGATCCAGTACCTGTTGTTAACCATCTTGTTAATCAACCGTTAAGTGACATTTGAAAAGTCAAAAATGCCCTAAGAATGCCATCTAATTCTCTTTATCAACCATCCAAACATTGACAATAAAATGAGCAGTCCTGAATTCTAGATTCTTCTAAACAATCACCAACTTTTTTGAATAAAAGAGGCTAGGATTTGGGATTGTTTAGTTTTTTGTCAATGTTTGGATGGTTTGATAATGAGAATTAGATGGCATTTGAAGGGCATTTTTCACTTTTCAAATGTTACTTAACGGTTGATTAACAAGATGGTTAACAATGACATTTTGGAAGATGGTAAAAATGTATAGAGTTTTGTCAATGACATTTTGGAACATTTATAATGTTATATAATCATCATATTAAATAAAAATAATTGTTAAAATAAAAATTATTTTTATTTAAGACATAAATGGAATACAAAATTTAGTAGTAGTAGTTGTATGTGGGGTGTGATTAGGCTAAGAGGGTGGTCTCCTTGAAAGATAGAAGGAGATCGGGCGCAGAGAACCAACCAAGATGTTAGGGCAAGGTGAGTGAGGAGTTGGCTGAGCAGGGAATTTTGATGATAAGGTTGATTAAGAGTTGAATGAATGCCTTTCGTCATGAGGGGGATCCCTATTTAAAGGGAAGGACCCCGAGATCCTGAAAGGAAGGAGTCAAAAGCATTTGTTTTCTACTAGGAAAGAGAATATTAGATTCGTTGTTGTCTATTAAGGAGCATTGCTAGGGTTTGGCCACATGTTCTTAAGGGATTTCTCAAATGTTGACTTTCCTTTCTCCCAAAGATCCTCATAATTCGCGTGTATTACTGCCTTTCGCATCTTACTTAACTGACGTGGCATTAGTGATGTCATCGCCTAACGAGTAGCCTTTTAGTAAACCTATGTGGCACCTGGTTACGCATATAATTTAAAAGTTTCACGTGCAACCAATATTCGATCCTGGTTTTAGTGAACCGCAGCTCCGTAACGGCCCAAGTTTTATCATGGGGTCGGGTACACGTGAATAGAGGTGTAAATCGAGTCGGGCCACCCGCAGCCCGACACGATTTTGGACTGGCCCAGCACAACATGGCACAAAGGCCCACGGGCTGTGCCAAGCACAGCACGAAGGCCCACGGGCCATGCCAGGCGCAGTACGAAGGCCTGTGTCATGTTGGGCCAGGGGTTCGAGGTCCATGGGCCGGCACGACACAACACGACAATTCGTGCCATGTCACCGGCGGTCTACATGCTGGCACAACCCATGACACGGCCTGCAGGGCCTGTAGCTGGCTGAGCATGGCCTGCCTAGAATATAGCCGTTGCCCCCCCCCCCCCCCCCAAAGGGGCCCAACGGCTAGTTTCAGCTTTTGGGGGGGGGTTATAGAAATACCCATCCAGCAATTATAAACAGCCATATTAGGGGGGTATTTGTGTATTTTGCTTATGTGGAGTTAAAAAATGACATAAATGCCCCCAACAACTATATAACAACTAGTTTAGGGGGGCTT